TATGATTCTTTGAGAGTAGAATGATATGGTGCATTGTCCATTACAATAACGGATGGCTCTTCAAGGTTATTCAGCAATTGAATAAACCACTGCTTGAACACTTCACCATTAATTTGGTCGTGGTAATCAGTGCCGCAATAACCGGGTGTGTTGCGTGTGTCAAACACACGGGCCCAGGGCCCCAACACATAATGGGGGGCCCAATGATAAAAATTTAAAAATATATAGAAAGAAATAAAACAAAATAATTTTGTTAGAAAATGAACGTGAATGTGAACGAATTCATTATTTTAGTGAACGTTCCAAACACTGGTGAGTGGTGGTATTTTATGTTAATTTAATTTTTACATACATGTTGGACGTTGGTACACTATATACATACAGGTCCCCACCAACAAAAATTAGTTGGGGAACATAAAACACAAAAATTAAATTAACCATTACAAAATCATTAGAGAATAATATTTTTGAGGGAATGTCATATCGATTTGTTTAAGTATTGTCTCAAAGCAATTTAAATGTCATTTAAGTTTGCAATTTTTTTATTATGAAAATCGAATACGAAGTAAAATAATAATAATTCATAAAACCGATATGTTATACACTCAAAGGCTCAAAAATATTATCCACTATACATTTTGTAATAGGTGATTTTATTATAAAATAATTCAAAACCAATAAAAAAAATTGAGCCTAAATGCGTTTTTCTATAGATGTCTATAAAATTGTATTTTTTGGGTAAAAAAGCCTAAAAATTTAATACAAGGCTCCTAATATATTGTTACAATGATAAATGAAAAATATTAAAATTCTGTAGTCACGGTTTTTATTATGATAATTTAAAGTTTAAATATTAACAAAATACGTAAAAATCACGAAAATGTGCAAATTATTTTGAGTTAGAAATTGATAAAGAAATAAATTAATATTTTATTAATATTAGAATTTTCTATAAACCATTTTTTTTACATTATTAGCATTTTGACTAAACAAAAATAATTATATTGACATTAATATAAAAAAAGGTGGGTAAGTAGATGTCGCTCTGCTGTACAGTAGGTTACAAGTGGGTCACTGTATAATGGATGGTATTAAATTTGAATTCAATGATATAATATCATTGTATAAGAAAAACGATTCTGAGCGAAGACGGTCAGTCAGCCTATGATATATTATATAACTAAGTATATTTGGTGATATTATTGTGATTTATATTTAACCTATTTACGTGGAACCTTGTTTTAAATTTTTATCCTTAGCTATAAAAATAGAACATTTTATACATATTTATACATTTTTTTAATTTAAAAGAAAAATTTTTATGAATTCTTAACTCAAAATAATTTGCTAATTTTCGTGTTTTTTCCGTATTTTGTCAAAATTTGAACTTTAAACGCTTATAAAAAAAATTGTGACTCAGGATTTTTAATATTTTTCATCTGCCTCTGAAACAATATTATATATTAGGAGAGTAGGTTAAAAAAGACAGTTTTTGAGCCTCAACTTGCTGGTTATTTCCTATACCCGTTTGCTCAACCCAACACACCGTCTGCTCAACCCACTATACCGTTTGCTCAACCCACTATACCCGTCTGCTCAACCCACTATACCGTCTGCTCATCCCACTATACCGTCTGCTCATCCCTATACATTGACGGCTGCTGAACCCACTATATATCACACACGTTAACGATGTACCCCCGCCACCCCACCACCTATGACCACCGCGCGTGGAAAATAATTTTAAAATTTATCCGCCGGACCGTGATTCGAACCCGGTTAACTTGCATGATAAGCGACAACCGTACCACTGGGCCGCCTACTCGCATCTGTTTGAGAAGGTATATTCTATCTCATTTAGGGCCGTTCTTACGACGTCCGGTTAAAGTTAACCGACACTTAACCGGAAGAATTCTGCCGGTAATAAAATCTGTTATCAGTCGGTTAGCGTTAACCGACACTTTACCGGACATTGTAAGAACGGCCCTTAACTGGCGTCCGCTTACGTACGCGAGGTATAATTTCCCCCACCACTATACCATTTACCCCCTCCCGATTAACCTGTAGGGACTTTTCGATGTCTCCCCCACCAATTAATATTTAATTTGCTCGTTTATGAAAACAACTACACAACATAAATTCAGTCACTCTATATAATCGTTCCAAGTGTTTCGCGTGTGCTTGTCTCATATTCAGTGTTAAAATCATAATTATTTCTCAGTGCGTAAAATAAATATGGCTGGTCCAATTGAAAATATGGAAAATATTTACAAGAAAACTTACAAATATACACCACCATCGCCGCCAGCTAATCTGATCGACTGCAGTAACTTGACTATTGATTTCACGGCTCGGAAGTTTTTAAACATTGGACTAGACCCTACCGATGAATTCAAAGCAGCGGTTCATATTATAACAGCTTCGCGGTATGTAAATATTCCCATCGATTTTCTGGAACGCATATTCAGACTTATGGGAAACATTCTATCGTTCGTACTTGACCGTCCACACGAACACAAACGAATTTTATTTTTGGAGACAGAGTCAATTACAATGTCTAGTATGATATATAAATCGGAGAACACACTTGTTTTAGAATCGAAAACTCAAGACGGATGTCGCGTTTTGTTAAATCGTACAGATCTACTGGTCTTACAAGATTTAGAATGTGCTATTTTTGAAATTATTAAAAGAAAATCCGAAATAGTTAAACCAATCGTACTACATCATATCGAGTTAATCGTTACATTCTTAAAAATAAACGTACCGCTACAAAGCTCAGTACTCGAAATATTGAGAACTCATGTGAGAAACATCGATAATAGCTTTATCCAAAGTCATGTTATTGACGAGGCAATGCAATATGGTATTAGTCAGAGCGATTACATTTACACAAATCAAGTAAAATTATACGCAACTGATTATATCGTACAAAAATGGATTAACAAAGTGAAAAAAGATGAGGTATGAATATTTTTTTTTTTTTTTTAATAACTTATATTATTATGTTATGTTAATAAACTGAATTTTTACAGGGATACAATAGCGAGCGTTCTATGACTTTTTCTCCACCACCACCGTGTTCTATGACTTTTTCTCCACCACCATCGTTCAGCAGTTTATATGAACAGGTAATAAACAGTTTTAAATTTTATCTACAAACCATATTTAAATTTCAAATATTTTCAGGAAAATCTATCATTAGTCTCGCCCTTGTCCCCGCCAGCACAAGAGAGCTACCTCGAGAACAACCAGGAAGGCTTTTCGGAAAACGATGGACCATTTGGACCACAATATAATTAATTATTTTTATACTAATTTAATTGTTTTTTGTCTAAAATAAAAACAAGCGTGATATTTAAAAACAAGTTTTTTTTATTTAATAATAAGGTTATAATATATATAGCATAAGGTCACAATATTTTACAAAAAAAAAAAAATATATAAACATTTTTACAATTTTCTAACTTCTCCACTAAACGGGCTATAAGTTATAATCTGGTCATGTAATATTAAGCAGTACGCTGTAGTTTTTGCTGGAATAATTGTATCCGTCTCAAATTCAATACGCAGGTCTACGGTTGACGACTTCACATTGTCGTTTTGACACGATAAATCGACGACGATGATTGGTGAATAGTTTTGAAAAATATGTTTTGATAATAATGGTTCGCTGTACTCTTTCTCATAATACGATTTTTGAAAGTCTGTGTTCAGTCAAGAGGCTCCTACAATATTGGTGGTCGGCCCCACTGACTACACCAACGTATTGGACACTTGTAAATACAACCTATTGTTATGCGACCACACTAATTATACGCACATTTTGGAGAAGTATGGCAAAGCACATACCGGAATTATTTATTTTCTATTAAATACAGATATTATAAAACATATTTGTATTAACTGGTAAAGACGTCTCCTTAACCAGCCATAAGAAATAAGAATACACAACAGAAATTAATGACAATAAATTCAATAAAGGTAATAACGGTGTTATCAATACACCCGATGCCTGACGACAATAATAATAATAATAATGATAATACAATGATAATGATTACGCGACTCCGACGACCAGCTGGGCTCGGTGAAGAAACGACGTTGACAATTCGGCTTTATGGTGTACTTTGGAGCAGTTGACGGCGACAATAGGTCTACCAACGATACGACGACCGACGAACAGTGATCCACAGGTCACGAATACACCGACACGCCGGTTTTACTCGTCCACACTACGACTACCAACACACGTACCGTGACGAGGCGCACCGCGTCAATCGAAACAGCGGAAATACGGCCTACCACGAATCCAGAGAACAACGTTTACAACGTTTACAAGAGTCGTACACAAGGGACAGGGCCGTCGCAGAAAAGCCGATACCGAAGCAAACGGAACGCAAGACGATGACGACAATGACGAAAGGAGCAACGACGGGCCGTAATCCGGCAAAGGTCGTGCGTCCAACTAACTAGCTCAAGCAGTTACGGGGTCTACGGCAGACGTGCGTTATCGGCGATAGCATACTAGACGGACGGAGGGAACGGCACGACCGGTTCATAGAAGCCTTGGATGGACGTCGACTACGGCGCTCGAACATCCTCCCCCAATGAAAAGCCCTGGTTTTCATGAGACATGGTGGACGCTGGAACATTGAAGATTGAGGACCAGCAATGGTCGTGGAGCCTGACATTGGTACGGAACAAAACAATAAAAACAATAATACAATAGCTCATAAGTTTGAGATTATAAATAATATAAGTGATGACATCTTTAACAAAACATAATAAGTAGTAACATAAATAAAATTCAAAAATTTAACAATTAACTTGGTTTGCCAGGGTGTGCCCTGAGTATAATTGATGTGGTCACCTGACAATAAAGAATGGCTGGTGAGCAGCAGACAGACACCAATAAATAAAATAACGCAATTGCCCTGAACATAGCAAGCACACTAAAACAATATGGGAGACTAACTTACCCGAACTCAAAGGAGCAACTATTCTGTGGGCAGCAGCACCAATTTTACAACTGGTCTGGTAAGCTCACCCTGGGCCGTCAACACTCTAGCTACACGCACAACGCCATCAGCTCCAGGCATGACACTCAAGACCCGACCTAAACGCCACGCCGTAGGAGGGCTCTGGTTGTCTTTAATTACAACCATGTCTCCATCTTTGAGGTTAGGAACATTGTTTGTCCATTTGGTTCGTGCCTGTAATGAACACAGGTATTCACTGGTCCACCGACGCCAAAACGACTGATGAAACTGATGAAGTAACTTCCAACGATTGACAATTTTCCGGCTGTCCTCGGGTATATGACGTTCAGGAACAGCGAGCAGAGGTTGTCCAATTAAAAAGTGCCCCGGAGACAAGTAGTCGAGATCAAGAGGCGACGATGACATCGGAGTGAGTGGCCTCGAATTTAAGATCGCTTCGATACGGCATAAAATGGTAGACAGTTCCTCGAGTGACGGATTATGACTACCCATGACACGGGTTAGCAAAGTCTTAAACGAGCGTACTGCAGCTTCCCACAATCCACCGAAGTGCGGAGCACTTGGTGGGTTGAAAATCCATGTACACGACGAGTGGGAAGAAATTCTGTGATGATTTTCCGGATTGTTCACTAATTGACGCAATTGTTTTGACGCTCCAACAAAATTGGTCCCGCAGTCTGAGAATATTTCGTGCGGAAGACCACGTCGCGCAACGAAACGATCGAGTGCGGCCAAGAACGCATCGGTAGTCAAGTCCAATACTATTTCTAAATGCACCGCCTTCACGGCCATGCATACAAATACAGCGACATACACTTTATATTGTCTTGCCTTCCGCAAGCGGCATTCGCGCATTGGCAAGGGACCAGCGTAGTCAATCCCAACACGGGAGAACGGTCGGCAAGCTTGAACACGTACCGCGGGCAAATCAGCCATGAGGGGAGTTTGAGTTTGAGCAATTGCTCTGACGCATATGGTACATGAACCAATGACTTTCCTGATCACACACCGCACAGACGCAATCCAAAATTGACAAGCGATTAAAGCTGTTATAACTCTAGGTCCCGAATGGCACGTCACAAGGTGCCAATGCCGGACAATAAGTAACGAAAGATAAGATGTCTTTGACAGTAATATTGGCTGCTTTTGAGCTTCTGTTAAATCAGCATGTGCCAAACGACCACCGACACGGATCAAGCCACAAGGATCAATGAATGGGCGGAGCACAGCAAACGTTCGAGGTGGCGCTTGATCATGCTGCAAATTGTGTAGCAATTTCCCCAGTGTCTGTAATTGAGACGCTTTGACAAGAACTGTTAGGGAATCAGTTAATTCCGATTGACATAGAAAGGCATTGGAGTACGTCTTACCTTGACATGATCCAATAAAACGACGCATCCATGTGACGACTCTAAGCATGTTGGTATATGAAGAAAAACGTGAGAACCATTCGCCATCAGTGTTGAGATGCACAGCTAAGGAAACGCCCTTTGTTTCAGGCAGCTCTTCTAAGGACATTATACAAGGCGAAAGGTCCCAGGTATCCTCAGAATTACGTAAAAATTTAGGCCCATGCCAATACAGGGGGAGTTGCATAAGGGCTGAGGGCTGCATTCCACGCGAGGCACAATCAGCCGGGTTATCATCAGTACGTACATATCCCCATTTACACGATGGTAAAAGTTGATGCACCTGGTGCACTCGATTAGAGACAAATATTTTGAACAAAGAGTGTGGATTGATCAACCAAGACAAAACTATTTGTGAGTCAGACCAGGCAAAAACATTAGTGATAACGAGTTGATGGTCAAGTGTCGCTTTGACGCGAGCCATCCATCGCGTAAATAGAACAGAAGCAGACAATTCAAGTCGAGGTATAGTGATCTTCTTCATGGGCGCCATTTTCGTCTTGGATCCTAGAAGGGAAATGGAGACGGATCCATCTGGCTGAATCAAGCGAAGATAAACAATTGCTGCGTAGCCTTGCTCTGAAGCATCACAAAAACCGCAAAGCTGGACATGGGAACCATTTTTTGTAGCCAGAAAACGCGGAATCTTGACTTTAGTCAATGTATGGAGATCTTGGACAAAGATTTTCCAATCCTCAGTCAAGTCGGACGGAAGTGGCGCATCCCAAGCTAATCCTGCCTTCCAGATTTTCTGCAATATATGCTTGGCATAGAAGATTACTGGAGCGATAAGGCCAATTGGATCGAATATTCTGGCAATGGTTGACAGAACGGCGCGTTTGGTCATGACATCACACGAAGAAGAGACTTCAAAACCAAAAGTATCTTCGGAAGAGTCCCAATTCAAACCGAGAACCTTGACCAATCCCGCCTCAGGGTCATCGAACTGTAAGATCCTTTGGACACGATCCTCTTGTGGAATAGTAGCCAGAATCTGTGGATCATTACTGGACCATTTTTTCAGCTCAAAACCAGCGGTACTCAGAACAGATTTCAAATCAGATTTCAATGTCAACAGTTGGCTTGTGCTATCGGCGCCAACGCAAATATCGTCAACGTAAGTTTGGTGAGTTAGTGCCTGTTTGACACCTGGAAACTCTGCACAACAATTGTCGGCAAGGTCCTTCAGAACTCGCAACGCTAGGTAAGGAGCACAGTTCACTCCGTAAGTGACCGTGTTCAGTTGGTACTCCTTAAGTTCGTCCAACGGTGACGCACGCCAGAAGATGTGTTGGTACTTCCGATATTGTGGAAGTACCAGTATTTGTCGATACATTTTACACACATCTGCTGTGAAGGTGAATTGGTGTACACGAAATCGGAGCATGATATCAACAATATCCTGCTGAAGCTTTGGACCAGTAAAAAGACACTGATTCAAGGAACGATTGGATGAAGTAGTGGCCGAAGCGTCAAATACCACTCGAATTTTACTGGTTGCAACATCACCTTTAAAAACAGGATGGTGAGGTATGAAGTAGTCACCAGGACTAGGAGCGAGAGACATATGCCCTAGTGATTCATAGTCACTCATAAAAGCTGAGTAGGCTTGATTCAAAGCTGGATTAGCTTGAAGTTTCCGCTCTAGGTTTTGGAATCGACGCAAAGCCATTCGTCGAGATCCTAAAAAACGTTCTTGCTTGCCGGATTCCATGAAGGGCAATGGGACCACGAATCGACCTCTATCATCACGCACACGTTCGGTTAAGTAGATAGTTTCACACTTGCCTTCATCAGTAAACATAACTGGAGCAGGCCAGCAGGGTCAGGTTCTTCGACACGCCAGAAACGTTCAACTAGATTCTCGAGTGATACCGTGAGTGAAACAACATTTGAACAGATTCGATCGGGCTCGTGATCAGGGACAGGGCCAATCAGAATCCACCCGAATAAAGAGCCGAATGCAGTGGGCAACGAATGGTCTATGACCACGCGTTTTCCGTCTAATATTTGGGAGAACACATCTGCTCCCAACAACAATTCAACAGGTGCTGGAAGATCAAAACTAGGATCAGCTAGAGCCAAATGCGAAAATCGGTGTTTACAGTGCTCGGGCAGATGACGAGACGGCATGTGAGAAGTTATCGTGGGCAGGACCCAAGCTGTCACCTGGATTTTCGTATTATTATCGTACCGTGGTGCGATGGTACATTTTACCACACCGTTCAATTTAGGGACTTGAACACCGGAAAGACCCGTTATAGGTGCTGTCCATTTGGACCGTTTTAATCCCAGGCGATCCGCGCACGCCAAGGTCATGACACTGACCTGTGAGGCCGAATCGATCAATGCGCGGACTGGTTGAGCACGACCGCAGTAATCACGAACATGTATGAGAGCGGTCCCAAGTAAAACAGTTGGCCGATCTAGTGAACCAATGTGGACGGCTGGAGAATCGGTGGACGATGACGGCTTTCGTGACGCTTCAAAATCGCGATGAAGAAGAACATGATGATGACCCTTACACTTAGGACATGTCTTCGCTAAACATCGATTCGACCAATGAGTAGAATTTAAACATCGGAAACAAATTTTACGGTCCTTCGCCGCTTGATATCTATCATCCAGAGACATGTCAGAAAAGGTTACACACTTAACTGTAGAATGGTCGCCAGAGCAGAAAAGACATTTGGAAGTAGATGCGACCGGGGCTTGTGAAGACAACAAGGCAACTTTAGACTTTTTATTTTCAAGTCGATGAGTTGGTTTGGTTTTATCCGGAGGTTGGTTGTAACTTCGCGCGTTACTCGATTGTGTGACAGTTTCTAAGACTGCAACACGTGACTTGACATAGGTGACCAAATCCGAAACCAGTGGAAATTCACAAGAATTAGCAGCCTCAAAACCTTTGCGCGTTGACAGCGATAGGCCACGAACAGACAAGGCGAACAGGATGAACTCCCCCAAATCAGGAATATTCAACGATTTTAACATGGCGACTTGATCGGAGAACAGGATCAGAAATTGCTTCAGTCCATCCAATGACTCCTGAGACTGAGACTGGACTGCAATAAGTTTGTCCACAATAAGTGACGCTAATTGTCTAGGTTTATCATACCGTTCAAATAATGTGGACCAAGCTAGGTTATAAGTATTTTCCGTAACCGCAATATTTTTAATAGTATAAAGAGCATCGCCCTTAAGACAGCCAAGGAGATAATAAAACCGGTCAATATTTGGCAGGTTAGGAATGTGACCCACTCTAGCAAGAAACCTATCGCGAAAAACAGGCCATTCGATCAAATCACCACTGAAAGAGGGTAACGGTATTTCTGGTAGACGGGATACTGAGGTGCTACCAGGCACATTATGTCTGGACCCATTGGCACTACCGTCCAGTGACACAGTTTCACTTTTAGGTGTGTGTTGTTCAACTACAGTTACAACACTAATGTATAGAGAACGGATCTCGGTTTCTAATTGTGTAGAAAACTCAGATGTAAGGTCTAAATCCAATAATGCATCCAAAACAGCTTGATTATGTGACACAAAGGATGTCCATAAAGAATCCAGATCACCAGCAGCAATTAAAAAATTAGGTAACAGATCTAAATTATCATGGACACGAGCCGCCGTCTCAGCTAATGCCTTAATTCGGTTAATAGTACCTTCACGGTTAAGCAATGAGATAGTTTTAGCCCTAACTGCTAGTCTTTGCTCACGAGCAGCCTTTTCTTGGCTTGTCTCTACCATATTAATTCAGTATATATAAACTAAACAATATTTAAATATAAAAAACACTCACTTTACTATAATAATATAACACCAATGAGCAATAAGGTGGTATACAATGTGCATATACAGTAGTACTTAAACACAGTAAATATGTGAGCTGAAAGGGGAAGCAATCCCAATTGGTACCTACTACAACACAGAACACCTACCAAGAAAAGTATGTAACTAACAACCCAAAATCATAAACATGTACCTACTCACATTAAACAAAGGCACCCAACTCCATTCACTAGTGTCTTTCGCTGATGTGACTATACTATAAAATAAACCACGCTCTGCTACCAAATGTTCAGTCAAGAGGCTCCTACAATATTGGTGGTCGGCCCCACTGACTACACCAACGTATTGGACACTTGTAAATACAACCTATTGTTATGCGACCACACTAATTATACGCACATTTTGGAGAAGTATGGCAAAGCACATACCGGAATTATTTATTTTCTATTAAATACAGATATTATAAAACATATTTGTATTAACTGGTAAAGACGTCTCCTTAACCAGCCATAAGAAATAAGAATACACAACAGAAATTAATGACAATAAATTCAATAAAGGTAATAACGGTGTTATCAATACACCCGATGCCTGACGACAATAATAATAATAATAATGATAATACAATGATAATGATTACGCGACTCCGACGACCAGCTGGGCTCGGTGAAGAAACGACGTTGACAATTCGGCTTTATGGTGTACTTTGGAGCAGTTGACGGCGACAATAGGTCTACCAACGATACGACGACCGACGAACAGTGATCCACAGGTCACGAATACACCGACACGCCGGTTTTACTCGTCCACACTACGACTACCAACACACGTACCGTGACGAGGCGCACCGCGTCAATCGAAACAGCGGAAATACGGCCTACCACGAATCCAGAGAACAACGTTTACAACGTTTACAAGAGTCGTACACAAGGGACAGGGCCGTCGCAGAAAAGCCGATACCGAAGCAAACGGAACGCAAGACGATGACGACAATGACGAAAGGAGCAACGACGGGCCGTAATCCGGCAAAGGTCGTGCGTCCAACTAACTAGCTCAAGCAGTTACGGGGTCTACGGCAGACGTGCGTTATCGGCGATAGCATACTAGACGGACGGAGGGAACGGCACGACCGGTTCATAGAAGCCTTGGATGGACGTCGACTACGGCGCTCGAACAGTCTGTATAGGCCTTATACAGTATACTAGTTGTATTATTTTTAAAATCAGCACGAAAGTCTTCATATGGATACACTTCAGAATTTAAGTGAACTTTAAGATTTTTTAACTGACAGTGATCAAAGCGCCCGGCGTCTGTCTCAATATTTCTTTTACGATCTGTTTGTAATCCAAACAACACAAACCTAGGTTTTTCTAACAAGTTGCTGGACTTTACCGTCCACGAATGTGAAGTATTCCTAGGAAGAATGGGATACTCGTTAAGATCCCACGTGCGGAATGCACACGATAGTGTTTTACAAGAATCTATCACTTTTATCAACTTTAATTTTTCTTTATCACTAACTTTGATAATAGGCATTTTCCATGCTACCTTAGTAAGTTCAATTGTAATTTTTTTATTGTTTTCAACGGCTCCGCTTGCACCCTCGCCAACAACGTGTATCGCGTCCAGATCGGTAGACGCCCGATTTAAAATCAATTGTTGATTACAATTAAGTAATATTTTTTTATAGTCTTCACAAAATCCGAATAAATGTTTTAGAGGGATACACCCGGTAAATACATTGCTGCTCATAAAGTTTTTATTATCTTCGCCATCCATAGCCGAGTCCCAAGCAGCGCTCTCTAACGTATTCAAATCGTTTGGAGTATACGAACAGTATGCTTTTAAGCAAGATGAGACTCCAGGTGTTTTTAATTTCTGTATTACTACTCCATTTATTTCATATCGCATTTCGGAGAATAAAAACGCCAATCCATTATTTGAAAAACGTACTTCTCCAACAGCATCGGTAGGTTTATTTACTCTCCCCTCTATGTAAATATAGCTTTCACACGGTAAAGTGTACGCATCCATATTTAAAACACTTATCTTAATTTCGTCGTTATTCGATAAAGACAGGTTCGAGTACGGAGTGAACGAATGATAATGCTTTTGCGTTATTTTACACTCGTCGACATAATCGACCCCAACGTCTAAATACGAGTCGTCCATAATTATTTTTTTTTTTTATACTTGCAACGAACGTAGAAAATTTAAATTATTTTTCGTGAGCTTGATTTCGCCTTTTTTCGGTTTAGATGTTGACTTCTTAACAGCAGTCGGTAAACTGACTGGTTTTTTGATTGTAGATCTTTTTATATTAAACTTTAGTGCCATTTCCACACGTTATTTGTAATCGAATCGTAATTGGTTCACCGCGCAGATTTATTAGACAATCGTTCTGATCTTTTAGCACGATATACACTCTAGATATCAAAGTCGTGTTGAGAGCATAAAAAACAGGATGTCTAGGTACCTCGACGATTTTATAGCCTGGCGGAACAGTTGGATAGAGCTCGTGTATGATGTGACTCGGTGCTCCGTCGCAAAATGAGCCAGTAATCAAGTTACACATGACTTTTATACTATTGATTTTCATTATCTTGACTGTACTTTCAGATTCGTAATTATTACCAGTAGTGTATAATTCATTTCTAAAACCCAATAATTTCGCTATACTATTTTCAACTGATAAGTCAACGTCATGACTACACGAGAGTATACACTTTAATGTGGTATTGTTTGCTTTTAATTCAAACCACTCGATATATTCGGGCATATTTTTCTGTATAACACTCTCTAAATTATCAAACTCATACGATCCCGTAGGTATTATAATGTCCTCTCTTTGTCCGATCATATTACGAAAACCGATAGTATTACAGCCGGGTTCAATGTTTGGTATTGAATTATTAGTCTGTAGGCTCAAAAGGCATATTTGTGATGTGCTTTCTACTTCTAGCGGTGGAAAAATATCGCATGACAATTCACTTGAGGTACCGTTTAATGTTAACGTGTACATGATAAAAATTTTAAACACAAGTGCCCGCAGTTGGTAGTATTATATTTCTGCTCTCTGCTGTAATTGAAATTGATGTCGCATCCGTGAAAATATTTTTGTACTTCTAATGGAGGTGGCAAATTTCCGAAACTGTCATAATATTCAATTTTATTCCCAATTTTTTTATACGCTACCCAGTGGGTCCCCACCCCGTTTTCCGTATCCAAGTTAACAATCGCTGATTCCACTCGTTTACAGCGTACAGGCAACCTATCTCGGGTAAACACACCGACGAAGTGAGGTATTTTAATCAATCGAGCCATTTTTATAAGCTCGTAATCGTACAGGGCTCGACGGGGTAACGTAGCTATTAGTTTTTTTTATTTTTTATAGTTTTTATAGTCTTCTTCGTTTTTACACTCCCTCCACTTTTATATGGTGCGAGATTTAAACCTGATCCGATTTTATACGAGTTGCCCTTATACGGCGCGATATATAACCCGCCGCCCAAATGAGATTGCGTATTTCTTTTAAATTCGTTAGCAACCTTGACAACGTTGGCAACACCGCCACTCAGTGCTCCTAGTACTGACAAACCGGCAAAAATCGGAATGAGCGGTAACACCCCGCCCTTTTTCGGAATTGATATAATCCTTGGAACTTTAGTTTTTTTATTTTTGAATGTTTTTCGTGCGACGGCTACACATTTCTTACTTAATTTCATAAGATTTTTTTCGCCGATATTTTTCTTTATTGTGTTTTTAGCTGCTTTGATGGCTGCTTTAAACCCGCATCCAGCCCCGATTTTACGTTTTGCTTTCATGGCGGTAGTTACGCCCCAAGCCACAGCTTTTTCTTTTAAACTAGAATCTTTAGACTTGAACCTATCCCAGGCTCGCTGCTCTAATATATAGTCAGCCTGGTTTCGATCTGTTATAGAGTTACTACGGTCGTATGCAATATCGTGTTCCCTACACGCAGCGTCTAAAGGATTTACACCTTTATCTCCTCGAGCTAAACGTTTTTTTAAATTTGTTCCAGGCCCGCAATATTGATAACCTATAAGAAATATTATTATTATTACTATTACTGCATTAATATACGCGTATTTATTCTCACCAGGCACGTGAATCTCTAATGGTAATTTATTTATAAGCGTGTTTATAAGACCAGAACCATTCGTAGTCCTTCTTCGTGCGAGCGACATCGTACACTGATCACGTTCTCAGTGTTACAGAGATATTTAAAAATGAAATTCGTTAAACAAGATATACAACTCACAGTTGAAAACGTGGATCCACCTACTTCGTATAAAAAACAAAGACATGGTGTACTTCTACCTAATACGATTAGAGCACTTATCATGGGCCCTTCAGGTTGTGGGAAAACTAATTTAATATTCACATTATTAACACATATAAACGGTGTACGATTTCACAACGTCTACATATATTCAAAAACATTGGATCAACCAAAATATAAATTATTGAGTGATATTTTATCAGACATTAACGGAATACAATTATTTACATTCTACGAAAACGAACAAGTTATTGAACCTGAAAAAGCTTTACCAAACTCTGTGTTTATTTTCGATGATATTATAACTGAAAACCAAAAGATTGCAAGAACCTACTTTTCCAGAGGTCGACATAATTTAGTAGATGTGTTCTATTTAGCTCAGAGTTATTCAAAAGTGCCTAAACAACTTCTACGTGATAACGCAAATTTTATTGTTTTATTTAAACAAGATGAGACAAACTTAAAACATGTTTACAACGAACACTGCTCCGGTGATATGTCATATCCCGAGTTTAAAGAATTTTGTACTTCATGTTGGCGTAAAGGGAGATTTGAATTTATCGTCATAAACAAAGACAGTGATCGCGATAACGGTCGATATCGCCACGGATTCGATACGTTTGTTGTTATATAAACTATGGGTTTTTTTATAATG